AGCGAGAACTTTTGTCCATCATCACAGGAAAAAAAAAAATAGGAAGGTGCATCTTCTAAGTATAGTAGTGGCTTGCCAGGCTTCAGTAATTTGCCCAAAAGTAGATCTAAAAGTAGATAGTGAAGATCTAAATTTACAGCAGTGAGAACCAAGGGAACCTGCAACCAGAGCGACAAACCGTGCAACTGCTCTGTAACTTATTTTGTAGATCTAGCACATCATTTATGTAACATAAATACTCTGGTAGCTATGTTTTTATCAGCATAACGTTCAGAATTCTTAATACGAGCAGCATCCATTTCAAAACCTTCAGACACATTCCATAAATGCAGATACTGAGGATATAACAACTTACATATATATACATGTAAGAAACACTGCCCCCATTCTCTTTCTCTAGCTTAGCTGAATGTTGCTGTATGAAATACTCTGTAATTACTACAGCGGTGTCCCCCTTTATTAGAAAAGATAGCATCTTCTCATCACTAGTCATTATACTTTATAGGTACAGACAACTCAGATGAGTTATTCCTTCTAATAAAGTACTGTTTCTTCACCGTTTAATAGCTTAATCCCTTTCTTCTACAGTCACATTTGTTTTTCTTGTCTGTTTGTTCTTTACGAGGCTACATTCGTACTTACATGGGAGACGATAGTAGTATTTTACAAGTCTATTAATCTTGCTTATGGTTGAAAGTTTTGAAACAAAACTGCAGAAGTTTAGCAGAAAAGATGAGCAGAGTTGAATTTTGCAAGTATTAAGGCCAGGAGACAAGTCATAGTTTGTACTTTCATGCAACAGGTATCACTAGACAGCGTATACCATTTACAGGTATTTGGGCCAGAAATACCTGCTTGTATCATAAATTATACAGGATTAATCATTCTAAAATCTGGAGAAAAAAAAATCTAGCTGAGTTTGTCCTTCTGCTGCTTCCTAGGAAAAGCTCAATAACTTCTCAAACACTGAACCTAAGCCTTCCACACCATTAAAATAAAATAAAATAAAATAAAATAAAAATAAAATAAAAATAAAAATCCTACTTAGGAAAGCAGGCATTTCACTGGCTACAGCTCCCTGTCTCTTTGCCTGCTTGCCTTGAGACTGCTAACTTCACTACTTCTTTCACACGTGTTTTCTGGCTGCTGCCATTTGCACCTGTTGCACTTCATGAGCCTAATAAGCACTAGCACTACAAGTGCCCTAAAAATGCTGATTGGAACCGGTAATTGTGCATTGCAGTACAAGGCCAAGGCAGAAGTACAGCTGGAGATGACACAGAGCAAGGGGAGCTTATTCCATGGGCTCCACAATCTAGGAAGAGTTCAGAGGAGATGCATCTCAACAGCTGGAAACAACCAACAAACCAAACCTCCGACCAACCTCCGACCAAATTCATGCAAAATCCCGGGCTTATTTCTGTAAACTGCAGCACAGGAACCAAATATGTCTGATGTTAAACTAGTAGCATCTGCTAGAGCAGCTGATGGATAGGTCGACTGAACAGCAGTGGTGCTGAAAACTCAGGGTCCGGGCCTAATGGCTCGTAGTAAGAGCAAGAAAGTTTCTTACATTAACTGTTTTTTATGTCCACCAATCCTGAAATTTCTTTTGCAGTTTTATTTCATTTCCCCAGACTTACTCTTCTAGAATAGGTATCTCAAGATGATTTATTACCTTTATAAAACATACTCTTCTTGAACTTTGGGGGAATGGCTGCTCAGCATTTACAACATTTCTGAGTCAAGCATTTGTAATAAGCATGAGACAACTTTTATTCTCATTTTAAAAACTAAATTGGATTCTTAGACAAAAAGAATTTGTACATTTTGTAAAAATAAAAAAAGCACTATAAAATGTAAGTTGGAGTGTGTCTATTACAGAATCCTCCAGAGTTCTAAGAATAAATTCAGTCCCCTGCAGGGGATTTAGCTCGTCTTTCCTTTTGGTTTGTAGTGTTTCTTCACAGCATTTCTTCCCCCCTTACCTTCTCAGGGCCAGATCCCGTTGCAAATTCCTGAACTAGAATAAGACTAGATGGGCCACTGATACTAGAAACATGCTCTTGTTAACCCAACACACGCTGCTTTTCTCCTCTGTCGGCAATTCTAAGACAGCCTGGTTTAATTCTTAAGATAAATGTAGCACCCCAAGCAATACGTTGGGAAACTGTAAATGTTACAAATCATGTATCCCCCTAGTAATAAACAGAAAAGAACAAATTTGTAGCATAAGCTTTATTTGCTCTTTATTTGTGATACAAAGCATGCTCTGGGATTTGCCTGCTGATACTACACACCTCTTGGGGACCAGTCTTACATGTGATCCTGGTCTGAATACCCGAGACTGGAAACTGGAAATCACACGAGGAGCCAGGTGAGCCAGAACACTCAGAGATCATCCCTGCCCACCACAGAAACGTTGCAGACCTGAAACACGTGTGTGTTTCTACCATTTTTTCCCTTTCACTCAAGCCCATAAAGGAAACATTGCCTTCCTGCATGTGCAGGTAACAGAAAATATATCAACTCATTCTAAGGGATTCTGGAGTCACAGCCTTACCTTTGAGTTTCAGCTTGTATTTAAGAGAAGGAAGTTTTAACCTTGATGGCTCCTATGAGAAAGGTGAAAACATGAGCTGACAATATTAAATATGTTTGTGCCCCCTTGAAACAACAGCCTACCTGAAGCTCTGATAGACACACCTCATTGGGATTTTGATGAAGGGATTTACCCCCCTGCATACTGCATCTCCTACTAACTAGTCAGCAGAAAATACAGAAGTAACAGGTATCGATCTGGTCCCCTGGCTCCAGCTGCTGGCAATGTCTGAAGGCATCTTCTTCCACTCCAGATGGCAAAGAAGACAAGTCTCCCAATGGAGGCAGAAAATCCTTTCCTGATATTATTCCGCTCCTCTGGTAGATGAGGACCTCATTCTATGTGCTCCAAGATAGGAATAAGGGTATCAGGAACGGAGGTGGTTATAGGTGTCATAAGTCGAGCTGTGCTTACAGCCACAGGCTGTTTCTGAGAATGTCTTTTACTTTTTTCTAAGGTACATAATTTATGATTATAATATATCAGCTATGGTTATAATATATTGGTTGCAGGACACTTTCCACAGTTCCAATGAATTTATTCTGCTGCATTAAACCAAATCTAAAGTGTTAACAATGTTAACTATTTATTTCAGGCATTAAATTATTATTATTATTAATAATAACTGTATAGCCTTTACTACCCTCAGATTTTTTTTTTTTTTCAGGACATAGACATTTCTAGACTAAGTGCTAAATTAAAGCTAGTCGGAATACCAGCGGCACTAAGCCTTCTGAAACCATCAGGGAAAGAAAAAGTTTCTCGGTTCTTCTGATCTGTTGGCAGTTTCATCCATGACAGCTAAACCTGGAATTACAGCTAAAAAACATCCATTGTTACTTAGTATTGATTCGGCCTCTCTCAAAGTGCTTGGCACTGTACAGAACAAAGAAGACAACAGAGTTAAAGACAACTCTTAACAGGATGTGTGTTGAATAGTGAAGACATCAAAACGAGCCGACTATAGAAACTGAAATAATTAGCTTCCTGAGAAACATCTAAAGCAAACACTTGCAAGGTTACTGGATGGTATCTTTAGTTTTATCCTAGCTGGTCTCGAAATAGCAAGCCCATAAAATAGGTTTCTTATCTAATCAAAAGTTCATTGATAAATGAAAAACATTGTGGAACACAACTGTATATTATGAAGAGCAGAAAACATCTGTCAGTAGTAGGGCTGTATATCTGATACCCTCTACAGCTAAGCCAGATACAGACAGACTGCTTGGATGAAGAGAGATTTCTGTTATTATGTAAAAGCGGTGATTTAAACGCTCATATTCAAGATGAGAAAAAAAATCTAAGAAACCTGTCCCTGGCAGATTCAGGAGAACACAGTATCAGGATTTCTGCAAGGCAGGTTCACCACAGCCAACCCTATTCTCTGCAGAGTGCGGTCAAGAAAGGCTGCAGTCACGCACTATTACCTTCCACGCAGACGCCAGCAAGATGCTTTAGCTGGTGGGCACTGCAGTGCTGTGGGAAAGGAGAAAAGGCTCTGCCCCGAACCAGAGGTTTGTAGGGAGAGAGGCAGCAGGGAGAGGCACAGCCAGAGCGTGCTGGAGCTGGTGGTTGCCTCCTACCACGCAGGGCTAAGGGCTGCAGCAGGTGGAGGGCAACTTCAAAATAGGCCATGAGGACTACTTCTAAAACTGACAGCGGGCCTGTGGTGCTCCTTGCCAGAGGCTGGAGCTGATGTGGGTTTTCCCCTGGTGGCTGGGGAAGTTAACAGAAGAGTGACTCACTGAGAATAGGTTAAAAAAATATATACAGGGAAAAAAAAAGTAGTGTCCGGCTCAGGAAGTCACCCAGTCAGAAGCTGGGAAACTAGGGGGGAAAATATTATATATGCTTGTTCAGTTCTCACTTGTTTTCTTGGTAGCTGCTCTCAGAACCATTAGGGTTGGAAGAAAGCTCCAAGATCACCTGGTCCAACCACCCCCCTGCCACCAATGTCACCACCAAACCATGTCCCCAGGCAGCACATCCATCCTTTCCTTGAGCACCCCCAGGGACGGTGACTCTGCCACCTCCCTGGGCAACCCGTCCCAGTGCCTGACTGCTCTTTCTGAGCAGAAATGGCTCCTCATTGCCAGCCTGAACCTCCCCTGGTGCAACTGGAGGCCGTTTTCTGTAGTCCTATCACTGGTTACCTGTGAGAAGAGGCTGACCCCAGCTCCCCACACCTTCCTCTCAGGTACCTGCAGAGAGCAATAGCTACTTAGGGAAGCAAACAGCAGCTTACAAACACCGTGCGCCTGCTCCGTGCAGCTTTAATCACCCCAGGTGAGCAGCTCGGAGCTCCCAGAGCAGGTCCGGGCACTCCAGCCGGTTCAGCCCCGCTTCCTCCCCGTGCTCTGAGTCACCAAACCCAAACCCCAACCCCGCAGCTGCAGCAGCAGCAGCAGCACATCCCGGCCACCTTCGGGCAGCCGGGGCGGCACGGCGGGGGCGGTGACAGCCGCCCCGACCCCTCCTCTTCCCTCCTGCTCCCCGCCTCGGGCGAGAAGCGGAGCAGGGAGCGGCGGGGGGGGGGGTGCCGGGTGCCGCGGCCATGCTGCGCGGAATGGCGGCGGCCGCCCGGCGGAGCTGGCGCGGGGCCGCGCCGGCGACATGGCGGCGGTGCCGCTGCTGCTGCGGGCAGGCGGGGCGGCGGAGGCAGCAGCGCTGGGTGCCCCCGGCGGGCAGCCCCAGCGGGGTGGTGGCGTACAACAGCCGCAGCCGCAGCAAGGAGCCGCTGGTGCTGGCCCGGGAGCGAGTGGCCACCTGGTAGCGGCGGGGGCGGGGAGCCCCGGGGCTCGGTCCCTGCCCGCAGGGGGCTGACGGGCGCCGTTTGCCTCCCTGTGTCTCCGCAGGTACAGCTGCGGGCCCACCGTGTACGACCGGGCGCACCTCGGGCACGCCTGGTGAGTGAGCGGGGAGAGGAGGGACGGGGGCTTTGCTGCGGCTGCTTGTGCTGCTCAAGGAGATCCGGGCTGCCTCTGAGCCCCTGGCTCCTAACCCTGCAGGCAGAGGGTGCCTGGGGGTCGTAGGGAGGGAGGGGAGTGAGCTCTGCTGGCTGCTGGCACACCAGCAGGGCATATATGTGTATATATATATATAAATATTCCATATCCGTGGGTAACTTCTATACCCATTACCCCTGTAGGTTCACCAGTACAGTCAGCAGAGCCAACACATGCATGCTGGGTGCAGCTCTGCTGTGCATGGTGCTGCAGGTGCCCTGCTCAGGATGTTTTCCTTGCTTTCCAGCAGAGCAGGCTCTTCAAAAACTTTCCTCACTGGTGATATTCCACATAGCTTTGGCACAGTGAACTATCCTAAAATACAATAACACTATATTATTGCATGTAATAATATTCCTGTTATTACAGCTATTCTTTTCTTGATCTTATTCACGTCTTTCTTTCAGCATCCTTTCTCAGTGTGTGTGTGCGTGATGCTCTTTTAACATAAAGTTTCAGTAATCAAACTGTACCAAGGAAGGAGAGGTGCCTTGCACAGCTGGCCTGTGGAGTAGAACAGTTTCTATCACTTCTATATTCCCTGCCCATGTTTCTCTGCTAGAGCAGATACAAAATGGTATAGCAGGTCTGGAGTACAGCATTTATAAAGCCAGAGGACTTCACCTTCAACTGGGATCATTATGTGTCTTTTGAGTGTCTCAGTTAGTGGTTCTCCAAGTTCTCCTGATTAAAAGAGATCTGCTATTTTTTCCATTCATTTTTAGCCTATGTCCAAACTAACAATTTCAAGCTTCCCTGGTCTGAAAGTTTGCCATATTTCTGTGCCACCTATTCCTGACCTTTTCACTTATAGTATAAGAAAAAACAGTTAGGGCTGCATATCACATTCACGGTGGTGTGTCACGCAGATAAGGAGCTGTGTTATCATCCTTCTGCCGCCTCTTTAGTGCCTTCATGTGTTTCCTGTAGTACAGCAGGATGCCTGTGCTAAAGATCTTCCTCCCTCTTCTGATCAGGTGAACCCTCCAGGGGGCGAGGAATTAACTGTTCCCTCCCAGTGTCTGTGGTCTTGCAGATCTCAGTAGTGACATCTCAGCTGCTCTGTTCAGAATGTTTTAATTTTTATTTTCTCCCAGTATCTAGGCCTACTTGCAGAGCTACAAGAACATTGCTTTTGTTGGCACAGATAAAATGAATGGGAGGCTACAGATCAGGAAATGCTCTGGAAAATAGCACAAAGTCACATGGAATGATGCATGTTGCTACAGCGTCACTCCAATAAAATACCCTCATGGTGTTGTACTGTTGCAGCATCCAATCTTATCACTGGAATTCCTTTTTTCCATCCTTTTTCCATTTAATTTGCAGTGAGCGTAACAAGAACAGCAGATCATGAATAATGGAAATGAGCTTGAGATCCTCAAGAAGAATTTGGAAAGCATTGCATTACTATTTTTGCATTACTATTTTTCTTTTCTCCACTAAGACTTCCTACTTCTCTAGATAATCCAACTTTCTCTAGCATGTTGTGCTTCCAGACTTCAAAACAGGCACCCTCTGTGTTTTCAGACAGCATCCATAATTTATTCTATATATTAAAAAAAAAAAAAAAAAAGATGCAGAAAATGCCACCTTTTCCCTCAGTGCTGAGACTGGCTTGGATTTTACTGATGTGGGCTGCAGCCTGGTTGGGGCCATGGTAAGAATAAGCCCAAATAGGAGGGAGTTCCTTCATGCCATTGTGCCTGGGAACAACAGAAAATTTGTATATCATTTGGGAACTAAAGCTGCAGAACCGTTAAATACAGTTTTAAGCTTTTGATGCTGGCATTGTCCCTTTGAAAGAGGTCCAAAGAAGAATTTAATCTACTGGAATTGTGTCACAACATGAGATGCACATTGCTCCCAGTGAGCTGCTGTTCATTAATATCTCTTTTCTTGGCAGCATGTGCTACCTTCCAAAAGGCCTTTTTAATACGGACACAGTGCAAACAACAAAAGTAAAGTATTTTCCTTCATCAAGATACTAAAATCATCACAGAATCACAAAATGGTTTGGATTGGAAGGGACCTTAAAGATTATTTAATCCCCCCCCCTGCCATGGGCAGGGACACCTCCCACCAGCCCAGGTTGCCCACAGCCCCATCCAGCCTGGCCTTGAGCACCTCCAGGGATGGGGCAGCCACAGCTTCTCTGGGCATCTTGCTCCAGTGCCTCACAGTAAATAACTTCTTTCTTATATCTAATTTAAGTCTGCCCTTTTTTGTTTAAGCCATTCCTCCTTGTCCTATCACTGCACTCCCTAACAAGGAGTCCCTCCCTCCCCAGCTTTCCTGTAGCCCCCTTTAGGTACTGGAAGGCCACTGTAAGGTCTCCCTGGAGCCTTCTCTTCTCCGGGCTGAACAACCCCAGCTCCCTCAGCCTGTCTTTACAGGAGAGGTGCTCCAGCCCCTGATCACCTTTGTGTCCCTCCTCTGGACTCGTGCTAACACTTGCATGTCCTCCTTGTGCTGGTGGCCCCAGAGCTGAATGCAGGGCTCCAGGCCCATGTCCTTGTTACGCAGAATCTGAATCTTAGCGTTGCCTGGTCCCCACAGCTGAGGGGAAGGATGCAAACCCCTTGGCTGTGTTTGCTTACACTCATTTTCTCTGACAGACACGGTGGGTGCAGCCCATCCAGTGGTGTGGGATGCCATGGAAAGCTGCAGGTCCCGGGGCTTTTCTTCACTCTGTTGTGCAGACGCAGTGCGCTCGGGTTTCTTCACAGCCAGTGGAGGCTGAGGTTTCTCCTCATCTTGCAGGACAGAGTGCGAGCCTGGAGTCACCTTTTGTTATTTCACACAGTAATTGGGCTTTACCGAGTCAAAGCATGTTCTGAGAAGGAAGAGCGGGGGGCCTGTGAGGGGCAGCAGGCTGCCACAGGCCTGCACCGCGTGCAGGTGGATCCGTCTGGCCGCACCGAATGTTCAGCTTTGTCACGTACAGCCTGGATGATATTGAAGATTTATTCTCAGCTGTAAATAAAATAAAGTAACCCCCCCCAGAGCAGCTCTTCTTTGCTGTCAGAAAAGATCTGTGGTGTGTTAATGAAATAGCTTGCTTGTAGCTCTACCTGTTACTCGACCCCAAGCAAAGTTAACACGAGCTCTATCACTGCTGTGTGGTGGACTTTGAAAGCCTGCTGGCATATACAGACTGAGGGCTTTTTATTTTAAAAATAACTGATCTGTGTCTCTCTTCTGTACTGTTTGCTTGGGAAAAGTCTTCTGGGTGAGAGGCAGCTTGAAACACAGCTCAGTGTTATCATAAAGAGATGCAAGAAAAGAAAGCGGAGAAAATTTGCTGTAATGTGTCACTAATGCCAGAAGAGGGTAGAGCAGTTCAACTGAAATTTGCTTGACTTTTGTGCAGATTGGAACTAATTTTGTAAAAGCATTTTATGTACTCAAGACCACCCTTTTTTTTTTTCCCCCCAAGTATTAGGGTATTGAGAGTATCTCTGTGGCTGTCAGTGCTCTTTGACATTTTTATCAAAGTTTATTCCTATTGCTGCATGTTTAAAAACTCTTTTTTTTTTTCTCTCTTCCAGCTCCTATGTTAGGTTTGATATAATCCGAAGGATACTGACTCATTTTTTTGAAACTGAAGTTATCATGGTGATGGGGATTACAGACATAGATGACAAGATCATAAAAAGAGCCAATGAGGTAGGTATTTGCTACAGTCTTTGATCCAAGCTTTTGGTATTTCCTAGATATAGTTATGTAGGGAAATAACCTAAGTTTTTTTTTTTTTTTAATAATTTATTTATTTTTCAATAGGTAATATAAAGATTTTTATCTCTTGAGCTGCTCCTGGGGCAGGTGTCCTTATAGCTTTATGCCTTGTCTGGAAGGCCAATGGAAAAGAAAAAGCCATGGCAACCCATCAGCAGAGTTGAAGCATATCTTTTCCCAAAAGCAAACCGAAGCCAGTAGCTTCTGGCTTTTTTCTGAAGAAATGTTTTGCTGTTGTTGATCTCTAAAGACAGTAAATGATGATATACAGGGTTGAGGGCAGTTCATGAAAGGTGCCAAGCACTCTCTAGCTGCACAGTCAGCACCTTGAGATGTGTCCTCAGTCCTGTCTGAGTTCATGGCCTCCTTGAAAGTTGACACTTTTGGGTAAGGCTTGGTAAGACAGGGGCCTGGTGGCTGGATCAGTACAACAATACAGAAGGGAAAAAAATAAATCAACACAACCAAACTTTTCACTGAATTCTCAGGGTTGTTGGCATGATTAAATGTTTTATGGCTGTAAGTAGTTCTCAGATGGATTTTTATCAGACCTTTTTAAACAACTGTGCTTGGTGAATTTTGAACTTCTTTCAAATTAACTTTTTTTTTTTTTTAAATCTGTAAAACGTGTTCTGGATCATAAATGAACTGAACTGCAATTACAGTTTCAAGCTTTAAGCTAATTTCTTGGAACCAAAGAATTTGGCAGGTGTCACTTTTGTTTGAATCTTTAAGTAAACAGTTACTATTGCAGTTAAATGCACTGCATCCAAAAAATGCTACCACTGCTTTCTTGTAGAAATAAGTTTGTTCCCTTAGTCCTCTTATTTGCATTTTTTTTAAGGCCAGTACTCTTTAACCAAAAAAAGAAGGCTGCGTTTTACATTTTTTCTTCGGAACATCAAGGAGATTTTATTTTGTGTGGGGAAGGTGTTTTAAAAGAATGTGTGCTTATTTACTTCATTCTTTGGTTCTAAGAAGATCTATTTTATGTAGCATTTTTGTGTATTTTTGAATGCCCTCCTCCGCATGCTTTGGTTGTACAATCAAAGTCTCTGCTTCTAAGATCTCTTTTTTGCTTTTGGCTTCTGTTGTTGCCAACATTTGTAGCTGAAGTATTAGTGTTAGGATCAACGTGCCTGACATTGTTTTTCATCCTCTGGTGGGACTCATATAGAGGGATTCTGAAAGTTGGGTATCTGGTCTGTGAGTAGCATGCTACATTCCCTGAGTGGTCCTTTGGAAAAGAGATGAGTCTCTCTGTGCTTGGAAACTTTCCCATCTTCCTTTAGGTGCTTTTGTCTTTCTGTTGATCAAAGAAGCAGCTGAGCTGTGTGCTGAAGAGCATCCCATTGCTGGAAGAGCTCTCCCTCTGGTCTGCAGGCAGAAACATGCCTTTGCGCTGAGCATCTTCCTCCTTCCGTTGCCAGATGAGCATCTGGTCTTCACCAGAACTCCTGCCTAGTCCCCTAACTTGTCTGAATAGAGGTACCCACCCCTTGAAGGTACTCCAGTAACGAACTCAAAGCAATGAAACTGGATTGATTTTTGTTAACAATTCAGTAGTCTGCACGCTGGAGAGGGTGGCAGTCTGCTGGCTCTTCCCCAGTAGGTTTTCCTCAGAGAAGATGTAAAACTTGAATTTGAGAAACACTGATATCATGCTTTTGCCTGCCAGGGCAGGTTTTGCCTTCTTAACATGATTAAATTGCCTCTTTCCTTTTGGAGTGCACTTCTGCGAGGATCCCAGTTCCTGTCAGTCAGCTTGTGAATGAGAAATGCGGAGAAGATGTTTGAGAACTCCTGCACTTGGCAAAACACGGAACTGACTTTCAGTTAATTTTCCCTGACTGTTACTCATATTTCAGTACAATCAGCTGAAATATCGCATTTTTCTTAATCACTGCAAATTAATATCCTGTCTCATCCTGCAAGTCTCTGACAAGGAGGTGGTATTGGCGTCCCCTGCCAATAAGTTGAATGAATTTTACATCTGTGCACTGTAGTGTATCTTGTAGATACAAATGGAAGACGACCCTCTCAAGAGGAAAATAATGGGGGAGGGAAGGAGTTCATTATTTTAATCTTCTGTTGCTTTCTCTTAAAAGTTATCTATTAATATTTTGGTAGTTCAGGAGCCTAAATGAAATACTACTTTTAAGTTATAAATAACTTGCATCCCCTTCCCGTGAATGCTAGATTAATAAGCCTTTCTGACTCTGTACCTTGGGGGCTCTGTAAGTCTTCCAATTAGCTACTAACTGCCTGATAAAAGATTGCAGTATTTTATGTTATCGCTTTGATTTACTGATCTTTTTTTTTCCAGATGAATATATCGCCAGTAGCTCTTGCTCGCATTTATGAAGAAGACTTTAAGCAAGATATGGCTGCCTTAAAGGTATAGATAATTGAGCTTCTAAATTTTAGAGTATTTTAATGCAATTTTTCTAGTAAGGACTCTTTTTTTGACAGTTTGATGGGGAAGGACACAACAAAACACAATTGTTTGCTTGTCTGATGAAGTGTTGTTCAGAAACTGAGTAGTGATTTACTTTCTCATTCTTCTGGGGAGAAACAGGCTTTATGTTGCACACCATCTGAAGGAGGGGGAGAGGAAGCATGGCTATTCTGAAAGAATCATAGAATCATAGAATATCCTGAGTTGGAAGGGACCCTTAAGGATCATCAAGTCCAACTCTTGACACCGCACAGGTCTACCCAAAAGTTCAGACCATGTGACTAAGCGCACAGTCCAAAGAGGAATGAAGAAGTCAAATTTATTTAAGAACACGGACTTCCTGCCCCATGCAGTAAAGCCTTGGTTCACAGATGATACTTAGTTACTGTCATGCAGAAATATCCTGATCTAAAGCATATAAAACATCAAATATTCTTTCACTGAGTTCGGGTGACTTTGCTTCTTTTGCAGAGTACTGTCAGAAGCAGGCAGGAAGCCACTGGGGAATGCTAGTCGATTTCTTTTTCTGTCTCTCATTTTTATTTTTTTAATATTATCTGCATCTTAAATAGTGCTTGCAATCTTTCTATGATATTTGCAACATTTTTTTTTTGCTAAGATAAAATTAAGAAGAGTGGTCATTAAAATTTGTTTCTTACATTGGAGTGGCTTGTCAGTAGTGTATTTCATACAGTGTAATGAACTGTCACCATTTCTTTGTTTAAGGTCCTTCCTCCTACAGTGTACATGAGAGTGACTGAAAACATTCCGCAGATAATTTCCTTTATAAAAACGATAATTGCTAATGGACAGGCTTATGCAACCTCGCGAGGTAAGATTTGCAGTAAGGCACCTCCTCTTAGTGATCCTGCTTAGGGATCAGGTGAGATATGCTGTACCAGGTTTTGTTGATTACTACTGCTTGAGCAACTCGTTTGTGATGATACGAGTGTGCCAAACAACTCTTGTCCTATTTTTAAGTTAAAAGTAGTTCATTATTTAACATAATTGTTTGCTGTAATGAGCTGCTGTCTCAGCTCCTGTGGGGAAGTCCTGGCCTGGGTTCTGCAAGGGAGCTGGGGGAAGCTTATAGCTGTAGCAGGAGCTGGATATCTGCTATGTACTGTAAAAGACATGCCTGCAAAACACAATGTGTGGAAAATTTTTTAGTAGCACTAGTGGCTGTAGAAGGATGCGAGTGTGTTTTAACTGGAACACTAGTAGGTAATAATTCAGTCATGGGAGGGGATTGCTAGTTAGCAGGGGAAAAACCCAGGCAGCTGTCCAGAAAACAGTGTTGTCTTAGGTGTAAATCGAGAAAATGCCATGGGGTTACTGTAAAGCTAGTAACATGGGCTGCTACTTCTGCAGAATTTCTGGTTTTCTAAATCAGAATTTCAAATGGAAGTTCAAAGGTACTTTGTTTTGTTTTGCTTTCAGGGAAATACTATCTCTCCATCATATCAGCAGAGTGAATGTGCCCCATCCTTGCTCTAAAACTAAATATTTCTTTTCTATTAGGCAATGTTTATTTTGATGTTAAATCCTGGGGAGAAAGATACGGAGTGCTAACTGCTATTAGTCCTGACACACAAGATGAAGCAGGTAAGCTCATGGCAGCAACTTGTTTGTGTTAATGCTTTGTCTGAACTCATGATGTATCTACGCATAAACCTTCATTCAACAGTTTAAAACAGTTTTGTAACTTGTTGTACATAGCCAGCATTTTTAGTTAATTAAGACATTGTGTTTTAGTGATTACTTATTGAGGCAGTGCAAGCGGAAACTGTCTTTTTTCATGCTTGGTTTTCTCTGTACCTTTGTTCTGGTGCTTTAGAACAATCACAGTTCTTAATCAATTTTATTTAAATCCTTGGGAGCGTTGTATACAAGCTGAGTGATGAGTGATGAGGTGGTGCTCTCAGCCCTTGCACTAGCCAGCACTGAGGTGGGCGAGGGGAAATGCTAGGAAACATCACCTGCCACGTTATTGTTGGGCAGTTGCACCCTTCTGGTGTGTGCTAACCAGATGCATTTACTTCTTTCATTATTTACCACCAGACTACTGCTAAGCAGAGTGGTTGTGTGAGCTCTTTTGATGGGCTGTGGTAATGTGCACTTGGCTGTGTTCTTCTGTTTTCGCTGCTGTTTTGCTGAGCAGGGCTGCTGATCCTCGCTGTAGTTTCCGTAAGTTGGCTCTGATCAGGTCTCTGCATAGGAGAGTTCGATGCAGGTCTCCCGTGTGCTTTTCATGCTGAAGTTCACTACCTCTTCATTGAAAAAAAATTGTGTTTGCAATTACTGGAAATGTCTAGGAGGTGATACTCAGGTGAATTGCAGCCAGAAGCTTCTCACAGCTCCGCTCTGGAGTTGTTTCATTACAGCCCACAAAGGGAATGTTCTGTAGGGGCAGTAACTGTCAGGCTGAAACCATCCTCCTGATTAATCCTAGGCACATAGTAGCATAGGGGTCCCCAGCTGAATATAGGCGAGGATGTCCTGCATTGTATTGTGCTGTGTTACCTTTCTTGAGTTTGCACAGGAGGCGTTTTGAGGAGCTGTGCCCTCCTGTTTGCTGCTGGAGAACTGCACTCAGAACTGGTGTCCTGTGGTGTGTGCTCTGCTTTACCAGGTCCCCAGCTTCTTGGGGCTTTGGGGTGTTTTTAGTGACAATTGGAAACAGACAGGTGCCAAAGCAGGGCTTTGCCTGCCGTCTCCTCTCTTCTGAAATTAAAAACCAGTGAATTGTAGGTCACTCTCATTCTCTGCGAATCCAGAACATTTCCATTCCTAAATGTCCCAGACAGCACGCTCATCGCCAAAGCAAACTGTGGTGGCTGCCTGGCACGGTGTCATAACCAGCACCTCCTGAAGAGATCCCTCTTGCTGCTCTCCTGACACTGAATGAGCACTTGGTTGTAGAGCTCTGTTAACTCTGTGGGCTACCCTAGGGTTAACAGAGGCCCTGGGGAGCCTGCTGTAGGTGAGCCAGCTCTGGTTAGGGTTTGGAAAAGATGTTTCCAGAGGCATCTCCTGGCTGCAATCATTCATATTTTACCCTGCTTCCCCTCAATTCAAATTCACTTACTACTGAACTTACTCTGATCTCTAAAGATTCAGTGACCGTTCCTTAGTTTATAACCGAGAAGATGAAGAGATGCTGTTTTCGCAGTAATATACTCCAAAAAGGCAGGAGAGGGATAGAATCAACAGATGCAGGTCAAACAGAGCTTGGCAAGACAGTGAAAGCTGAGATGAAGATTCAGTTGGTAGAGCTCAGGTTATATTTCTGTCCCTTTATTTCTTATCAATTTTGAATGATGAAGCAGGTGTAATGGATTTCTGTAATGTGCTCCGCTTAATATTGCATGACGCTCTGAATAAAAACAGCCTCTATATAATATCAATAAAGGACAAGTGGAGTGGATCAAGAAAAATGACCACCTGATAGAGCCCTGAAAATAGCTGTGAATCATCATTAAAACGTGTTGGTAGTGGAATGCTGCAGGGGTAGGTTTAGACCCAGTCATACATGGTGTTTTTGTTAATGATCTGGAATAAGTAGAGGAAAGAAGTAAATCTAACGTCACTGCTGATAAAAACAGATGAGCAATGTTAAATAATTAAGGATTTTTTTCTTCTGCTGCTGCAGTGCAACCTGTATATCCTAGGAAACTAGATGATAAGTAACTAAGCAAATGAGATAAAACCAGAGAAAGCCAAAAGAACAGAAAGGATGAGATGTATTAAAGAATCTTGAATCCATCTTTTTAGCCTGCAGAAGTCAAATTCCACATACTATTTTTTTCAAAAGCTTGATCAAGGAACTGGAAGCCCAAGGTAAGCAGGAAAGGAGGAAGGACACAGGAAAAGGAGTTGGGCAGAAAATAAAAACTGAATGGTTCACTAAGCGCACATTTCTGCTTTCTTTCATTTGTTCATTATTTATTTTTCTGAGACATGTCCCATTAATAAATCCCTTTTCCATGGTAGTTGATACTGATAAACGCTATGGTAAAGATTTTGCGCTGTGGAAAGCTGCCAAACCTCAAGAGTTATTCTGGACTTCTCCCTGGGGAAAAGGAAGACCTGGATGGCACATCGAGTGCTCCACGATATCAAGGTCAGATTTCTGGTATTTTAAACCCATCGCTGGTTTTTGTCATCAGTCACACTACAGTAGTAGAAGCAGTACTGCTCTTTTTTTTTTTTTTTATGATCAGTGGAAAGCACCAGTTCTAATCTGAATACTTTCCGTAGCTGTCTTGTTATATTTTGGCACTTTCTCTCCTTAGAGAGAAAAGCGTGCATTTAAAATAAGCCATGCAAGATCACGTAGCTGATTAGGGAGTCTTTTAACTTGAATTGAGTAACCAAAGTTTTTGTGAAAGTTAAGAAAGACCTCTTTCATCTTCCTCCCTTCCACGTCATGTAATCTCCAGCGGACCTAGTCAAGCCTGTAGTGCTGTATCAGGACACAGGAAGTTTTGCTGACATTATCTTAATGGCACTTGTGGATGTGTCTGCTAATCATCTATCATTATTCAGATTTCTTTAAAAGCCAGCCACACTACTAAATATTCAGATTTCTACGTGGCAGTATATTCTGTGGGCATGACGTGAATTGTGTGCAGTAGCAGTTTGCTTAGAGATGTCTAGAATTTGCTCAGAATTTAGAGTTTTGTTTCATTTTTTCTACAGGACAGGAATACTTCATCCTGTGAAGTGTCAATTTATGACCTATTAATTTGTGTTTGGAAAAGAGAGGCTTTAACTCTTCCTTTGTGAAACATTGGTAGTGGTACTTAGTTTTGCATTAGTTTCATATCTTTTTTTCAAAGCTAGTAAGAAATTACTGAGATCTGACCTTGTGTAACTTGAGAGTTTTGAACCCAAGCTGAAAGTAGGTGGAACAACTGCTTCAGGTTTCTCTTTCATAGGCCATGCTGGTGCATGTAGGGACGTTAGTCATTACTACCTGCTAGCAAAAAGCATTTATAAAGGTGATTTTATATCACTAAATAGTTTCAGTGCTGTGGAACAGTTCTTAAAGCAACCCAAGTGCACAAAAGCACGTTGCATTTGAAGTGCAACCTAAGACAGAAGTGCACTCTAGGTAAGAAATGACAACTGGTTACAAAGTGGCCTATGTGCTAATGTGATGCTATTTAGAGGATGTATATGTTTTCTGTACACTTCACTGCGATGAGACTCCTGCCATGTGAATAGGAGTTTACCCGTGGAGAGCAGAAGTGTGGTAATTTGGGACTGTGAGGAACAGGGAGCTTATTTTTGTAAGTTACCTGAGGTGTTGTACTGTCACAGTCAGCTCTCAAGTACCCATTTTAAGTAATAACTACTTGTCTGTTTTGCCAAAGATCTCAAAGCTCTTTAAGTTAGGTGAATAATTTTGAAATATCTTTGAAGTGTGTGTGTGTGAGAGAGAGAAGGTGGAGGGCATCGGTCTCTAGTTTAGTCCTGGAGAAGGAGGGAACCATCTGGTGTGACTCAGGTCTGATCTGGAGCTTCACTTACAGTCAGAGATGGGCTGCAGCTCCTGTCCCTGAGCATTTTGTAGATCTTTTTCCCTCTCCTCAGCTCTTATTTGTGTTGTCGAAGGAAACTGCCAATGGACAGTGTTTGCTTCCAGGTGGCAATAGGGAAGGGACAAGCTGGGGTCTCTCTCTGAAGGTCCACACTTAATCCGGTTTTGAAGCAGGCAGGAAGAAGCAGTGGGATATGAGCTTTAGACATAGCCACAGACAGTCTGTCTTCCATCTCTCTTTTAGTTTTTTCCTATTTCTTTGCCCCAAACTGAGAGCGTCTATAAATGTAAAAATCTATAAAGATATATGCCTACAAATACCTGAAGGGAGGGTGCAAAAAAGATGGAGCCAGGCTCTTTTCAGAGGTGCCCGGTGCCAGGACAAGAGGCAGTGGGCACAAACTAGAACACAGGAGGCTCCCTGTGAACATCAGGAAACACATTCTCCCTGTGCAAGTGACGGGGCACTGGCACAGGCTGCCCAGAGAGGCTGTGGGGTCTCCTCCTTGAAGATCCTCAAAAGCTGCCTGGAGATGGGCCTGGGCAGCCTGCGCTGGGTGGCCCTGCTGGGGCAGGTGGCCTCCGGGGGGCCTTTCCAGCCTCAACCACTCTGTGGCTCTGTGAACTAGGACTGCAGTGCCATCGTGAGCCAGGGTGTTTTGTCCCAAGAAGGACACCAAATTTCAAGAAACGTTCATCTCTGAAGTTGTTTAGTCTGTAGATGAAGGAAGCTGTCTGATGCTGATACCGTAGCAGAACAAGGAAGGGAGATGTCCTGCTTGCTGTTCTTTGATCTAAATTAGAAAAATAATTGCTCATGCTAAGGAAGATTAATAGCAGGCAGTTGTGGTCCTGTCCACACAGGTTCTGCTGCAATTTTGGTGTTAAGATCTGTGTAAAATCCTCATCTGAAACTGTAATCAGTCAATAATGTGTTTATATTTATGATGTTTCACCTTATCATTTTCTGCATTTCTTTTACAAAAACCTTTTGTAGCGTTCCCCTTGCTGACCAGGAAATTATTGTTACAGCGCAGTGTTCGGAAAGCAGCTGGACATCCATTCTGGGGGAATAGATCTCGCGTTTCCTCATCATGAAAATGAGATCGCGCAGTGCGAGGTGTATCATCAGTGCGAGCAGTGGGGGAATTATTTTCTGCATTCTGGTAAGTGAAATATCAATCACCTGAGAGGCCTTCCCATGAAATGGGAAGGAAACCTTACAAACAGATGCTGTACTGCAGTGACCAAGTTCTGTCCTCACTAAAAGAAGAAACATAAATGAGTGAATCTTGAAACTGTAGAACGAATGCCTTTTTTAAGTGGTTACACTGAAATACTAAGTAGCATCTGTACAGTGTTTATTCCTAATTAAAAATGTGGAAAGAAAAGTTCTGCCAGCAGAATCTCATCTCCTTTCACCTGATTTCTGCAAAATTTGAGGGCACTGGTTATGATAACAGTTTCTGTTCCAGTTTTACTTTGGCTGTGACAGTCCTGCTGGAAGAGGGTGAAAATAATTGATCTTTTCTATATGGCCTCCTAAAAATAGAAATTCCTGCTGTCTTTGAGATGGAACCCTCGGTATCTGGAGGCAGGTGAGGGAAGGTGACAGGTAGCTGATCATAGTGTTTTAGAAGCTTTGAAACTGGAATAAACCAGTCTAGCTCTCCATCATCTCTCAGCACCAGTTGCCTGTGAGCTTAAAAGACAGTTTTCAGTGGAGTGCTGAGTAAAATAGCCTGTAATTATGGATACAGGGAAAAGGCTCTTCTCTTACAAAGACTCCGAACTCCTGAAGGGTAAGAATGGAGAGAAGGCTGAGATGCCTGAACCGATGAGCCAACAAAGCTCACAGTTGTGACTCTGTAGAGAAACATCTGAGCTGGGATGTTTTGAAATGTGGGAGAAACCTACCAAGCAGATGCTCTGCTGCAATGAACTGGAAGCTCTGATGCATGATTCACGCACCTGTAACTATTTAAATTCTTCTGAGAAGCTTGTGGGTTTTTGTTGTTTGTTTTGTTTTTTTAAATCCTCCGGTAGCAGTGTGATGAGTGATGAGTAAGAGGTGCAAGGTTAATGCCAAAGACTGAGTCAGACACTTTGGTCTAGTCTGCTCAGGTGTGACCAAAGAGGTTGCTGCTGGGTGAGCGACTTGGTCTTGGGGTAGCCCATCGATGCCACAGACCTCTGCATCTCTTTCTCCTAGAAGTGACCTTGCTGCCTGTGCCTGACTAAATGATAGCAAAGTGTCTTTTATGCACTTGGTCTTCAGCATTATGATATTGTTGTTACGTAGAGCTGCTGCCTTATACAGTAATGCTTCAGTGAAGATTGTGCTGCGCAATGCTCTGAACAACGCTGTTACGTGATGGGATTGGCAGCGTCCTTCTGGGAGAAACTGTGAAGTTTCTTCTTCCTATTGCAGTTGTAGTGGTTCTGGGTGGTCTCCAAAGGACCAAAAGCAACAGACTGCAGATTGAACCTGCCTTTCTTCTTGCTGAACAATACTTTGTGTCAAGATCTCTTGCTGCTTGTTTGAGCAAGAGCTGTGGAGCTGTGGTACGCTCTGGGAATTACTGAGGCCTTTATATATTTGTGCTGTTTGGGGTTAATACCGAATTCTAGTTTCATTTCTCAATGTGGAGGCTGTTAGAAGTCACCAGAAGCTGTCCAGAGGCTGGTGCATCCTCCAGGGTACGCTTCACTCCTGAAGTGCTGGGAAATTGTCTGTGCTTCCAATGAGATAGACAATACACTGGCTACTGCCAGCTGGAGCCCTCTGCCAAAAAAAAATAAAATACAGTTAATCTGAGTTCTCTAGCTTGGAGTCAAAACTATAGGGGAAATATCCTTTGAAACTAAGCAAATAAAGAGGATTCAAGATTTCTTTTCTCAAGAAAATGAAGAAAAAAAAAAAAGCTTGATTCCAAGGGCAGTTTGAGTGCTGAGCTTCTCCAGGAGCTGACAGATTACATTCATTAATTCAAAAAATGTTGCTGGAGGACAATAACGTGAATTATTTAGGGCAAATGAATCAGCTTCAGAAACAATTTATTCTGGTAACAGACTTCAGAATTTTAGCAGGCTCAGAATTGGAGAAGCAATCCCCATTAGAGGAAGAAAATCCCTGCACTGGGGATAAATCTTCTTATAAGGACTTTATTTTTAGACTACTTGTGCTCCGGGAAGAGCGCCAAGCCAAAGTTATGAAAATCCTTATATTCTGTGATTCTTTAATGAAACCATTCCAAGCGCTGAGGCTCTTGAAGAGGAGTATTACTTCAAATTCAGGTGTTACCTGTGCCTTATTAAGACAACATGGCCAAATTGCTCAAAATTGGGCTGCCTACAGTTAAGTCAGTCAATATTTAGGCAGCTTCACAGAAGCTAAATAAATAAATAAGTAATCATACCCAGGCTATTCATTTTCCACTGGTGAAAGTTTGTGTTTGAGGGGTTTATTTTAGTTGTTAGAGCTACAAGTGTCCAGTGTTTCTTGCAGTCTGCATGTTTTTATTCAGGAATTTAGCTACAAGGCAGAGGGAATGGCCTCACCTGATGGCGGTCAGGACTAAACATCATGAAAATGAGGTTTTTATTGAATTGTAGGTTTTTGTTGTAGCTGGTTCTGGATCCATACAACTCTTGATTCTTTGCTATCCTTGAAAGGGTGCTGTGCAAACTTAGCTGTGCAGGTGGTGGAGGTAGGACTGGAGGTGGCTTTCCCCAGGAGAATCCCCACTGACTTGAACCACTGTCGAAGGAGCTAGGAGGTGAATCCAGACGCTTCTCATGCCTGTTCACCAGGCCCAAGAAGGTTGCTTTTCTTTTTGGATGAGTTGCTGGGAATTTTGTCTCCTTGGAGAAGGGAGAGGGCTCCAGTCAGGGCGGCAGAGCAGCGCTGTGCAGAGTGATGCAAAATTCAAGCATCAGACCGGGCTGCTTCACAAGATGTGAAACCTCTTCCACCATCTGTGAAAACGGAGCCGTAATTGTGTGTAGTGTGTCCACCCTGAGGAGCACCCGGAGGCAGCAGGTGTCTGAAGGAATGCAAGGTTGCTGGTGTGCTGTTAAAGAGTAAGGAAAGTTCACGCTTAAAAATCTGCATCTGAGTAGGGCTAAGTGCTGGGTTCTGCAGTTAACAGTGTCTGAAAACTGTTAGTTGTGGGAGCTTGGTAACTTCCAGGATTACTCTATTAATAAGAGAAGCCAATTAAAGCTTTTAACTACATTTCTGAAATGGTGCTGAGTAGCATTTTATTGGCTCTGTGTTCAGCATCCCTCCGGCTCTGTAAATAATTGATGTCTTCTATCAGTGGTGGTGGTGTGGCTAGTGCAGACAGGGTCCAGGAGCATACAGCCTCATCTCCCGCATTGCTTTGACAGAATTTTACCCTGAAGCCAAGCTCTGCTTACTCTAAGTGTGATGGAGATCATTACTTCCTTTTTCTTGCATCACAGCCCTGCAAATGGAGGGTCTGTGCAGCTATTGAAAGCTGCATTAGTGCTTAGAGATTACATTTTAAAATTAATTCCAATTAGGCATCGCAGCTATAACTTTTCCCCTCTTTCTTTACACTGCATCCCAGCAGTGAGCAGACAAACGAATCCCTTTCTTCAAACAGAACTTGGGCAATTTTGGAAATTTTCTGGCTTTGAAGTTAGCCCTGCTAGGAGCAGGGTTCAGCTGAGCAGCCTGATGAGTTTCCTTACCAGCTAAATCCCCCTGTTATTTTCCTTCTACCTCACCAGCTCCCCAAGGCAGCAAGAAGGCAATGAGTCCTGGTGGAGGACCTGCAGGGACCCTGCACATGCCAAGCCTGTGTGAAGGAGCTGCGCTGTGAGCAGCGTTAGCATGCAGCTCCTGGTGCCACGCAGACACACTCCTTGTGCCTGCAGTGCTCCAGGGCTGCCACACCACAGGGGCTGTGGTTAACAGGCACGTGTGCTTGGTGTGGCACAGCTGAGAGCTGTGCAGGGGGACTCAGCACGTGGGGAGAAGGTCTGGATGGCTACCTTGGATGCTCCCCACTGCCTTCACTAGCCCCACTTCGAGGAAACATGCTCCCAGACAGTGCCAATGACTTCATTCCCCAAGTACAGTACTTCTCACTAGCTCTTTTCTGTGACTATAAGCTCCTGTCAGATTTTTTGGCATAAGTATCCAGAAGAAACACAGACGGCTTTTTCAGTAAGTTACTTCTGAGCAGCAAAATCTACCAGTTGCCTTTCAAAAGCTTTGACTTGCTTTATGGTATCTCTTAAAATTGAACTTCAGAAAACAGATCCTCAGATCTGAGTGTCTTCCTTATCACATCTAATCCTTTCTGGCAACCAACTCCTTCCAAATTTTTGTAGATTGAGTTTCAGAATAGGGGATGCACAGAAAACTTTACACTTGAGGTATTTTGGATTAAAACAATAAACTTTTGGATTAAAAAAATAGTAGTGAGTAGTACATACAGAAAGTTGGGTTTCAAGAACATCGTATTGCAGGATAATTGGATGATCTTTAAAAGTCTTAAAATATTTATGGAAAGTCAAAGGTAACAGGTAAAGTACTTTTCTGTGAAGACTGAAAAATACTTGCTTGCTTGTTTTTTATCAATTCATTATCAATTTGGTTAAGAAAGACTTTTTTTCTTTTGTTTTTCCCTTATGTCTCCTAGGGTAGTTCTTTTTTGAATAATGTTTTCTTCTGTTTTAAAATTCACCCAGCCCATGTCGAGGGTGGCGTGGCCAAGCTTTTGAACAATAATTTACATGTTGCATTGAGATGGTTGGCACACGTCCATCTCAGCGTATGCCTCCTGAGACTCCAGATTTTTTTCCTCATTCGCTGCCCATTGAGAAGAATACTAACTTATCCCAATTTTTTTTTTCCCCCTAGGGCATTTGCACGTTAAAGGAAGTCAAGAAAAAATGTCCAAGTCATTAAAAAACTACATAACAATTAAGGTAATCTATTTTTGTGAGCTGAAGAGATGTATGTATGTAACACGTAAGTATTAATCACAGCTTTCTTTTGAGAAAACACATGAGCATTTGCTTATACTGCAGTGGAAGAAGTGAGGCAGGGTGTTTTTCTAATGCAGATGTACCTGTTATTCTGTTGGGACGCAGGAAACCTGCTGTGACTCAGGGATTGTTCATAACTTGGGTCTCACTGAGCTGAGAGGGTTTGTAGGAGCAGCATTTGTGCCTAGTACCAGAAATTTGTGTTGCAATAATGCGTTTTCTGTACACTTATCTATCATGTATGAGTTTGGGATTTAGGCAAGGGTGGATATTCTTCCTTGTCCTGCTTTAGGTGAGAAGTGACATAGTCTCAGCATTTTCTTAGTAATTTATCAGGTATTCTGCAACTATACTATCATAATGGTCTCTTGTCCTCTCCTTTATTTTATTTCTTTTTTTTTTTACTGTCACCTTTTTGATGATGTACAGAAACCTTTGTCTTTTCATACCTCCAAGCTGCACAAATACGTCCTGTTTTACCGTAACAGAGGGAAGGAGCCATTCACCAGAAGCAGTTCAGTGAGTCAGTCACTTGTGGATCCTCTCCTTTCCTCCCCGAAGGCCCACAAAGGGGTTGAGCCAAAGTTTGTGGCACAGCGCAGAGCAGGGTTTGTGTCAGCGCGTTGGTGATATGCTGTACTTAACACCATCTCAGCTCCAGCGATGGCTGACACCTATTGTTCGAAGCGGGTAATTTTCCTCCTTTAGACAAAGCTTGAGAGGCCGTTTCAGCACACACGTTCCCCTCTGCCCTCTCAGAAGACTAATTACAGTCCTTTTAAAGGGAGTTCTGCTTTATTCTGAATTCTCCCATCTCGTCTCGTGTGTGTACAGCTAAGCCTCTCCTCCCCGAGGAAAATTATCCATCCCTCACCATTTTCACAGCACTTTCCTGAGTCCAAGCAGATGCAGGGTGGAGGAATGGCTGTGAATGCAATGCACACAACGAAAAAAATGTATAGAAATGCTCCCCTGCATCTGTGCAGTGGCACTTCTTTGTATGGAGCAAAGTGTTGTGCAGGAGGCACGCAGAAATTTCAATGTAGCCAGCAGCGATGCGCTCAGCAACAAAACATTCAGGGCCTTCTCCCTTTCCTTGTGGGTTTCTTCTTTTAATTTCTGCGATTAGACATGGTGAGCAAGTATTAATCCTCTCCGGCAAGTAACTTTCAGTCCAGTGAGCCAGATTTCTTCCCATACAGTCTTTCTGCAGTCTGGGCGCTAAGCCCTGTGAGGAGCTCCGTGCCTGTGCTCTGAAAAATTCACGGCCTCGGATGGTGCCGGCGGCTTTTCCTTTGTCTCGGGTGGCAGAGGAGCGCGGAGCGCATTCCTGGCAGCCACTGAGGCATGGCTCTCCTTTCCTGCAGCCGTGCTGGATGCTCTCAGTCCAGCTGCGCTATTTTTCTTCCCCCTTGTTCGTGGTTTTTTTTTTTTTTTTTATATATAAAGGCTATTAATTCTGACCTCCAAAATCAAGTGCGTGCCGATAATGCACGGCCAAGCAACCCCCTTGGAAAGATTTACGAGTACTTTCTTCCTCCGTGCTCTGTTTTTAATGAAATGCAGAACTGATTTCTGCAATTTGGATGACCCCTTCCCAAATTCAAAGTTTTCCTCAGTGGAATTTATTTCCTTACTTTACTGACTTTGTTTTCCTTCTGCGTATTCGCATAAAGCTTCTGGGAACACTGAGTACATAAAGTTATGGGTTAAGTTTATTTCCCCCCAAAAAAAAAAAAGAAAAAAGACCATTTAGTTTCACAATCTGTTTCTTGATTTAGCTTGCACTGATTGCCTCAATTATTTCTATTTTCACTTGAGAGACTGCACATTGCTGACATTTTGCTACCTTCAGTGTTCAGGCTGGTTTAGTCTGGCAGCAGAAGCTAAATTCCAAAATGTGCATCTTTAAGCAAATGACACTTCCCGTGTTTTCTTCTTGTACTGACTTCACCTTACGATTTTCTATTTCAGTGGTACTTCAGTGTTACAAACTTACTAGCACCAATTTGCAAATTGGGGGTAAAAAAAAAAAAGAGGCAGGAATGTGATGTTCAGTTAATCTGCCACCTTGTTCAACCGGCTTGCTGAGAGCAGAGCTGTCAAGGGATTGAATGTTTTATCCGCGTCCCTCCCAAGCACTGAAATAGTTCTTTGTCGGGATAGTAAATTATTTTTAAAGCTAGATAAGTAGCAGGGTGAAATTAATGAGGCTTCACAACTAGCGTAGATAAATTCCTGTGATTATTTTTTTTTTAAAAAAGCTTTTTGTTCACTCCCCCGTTTTCCTTCATAAGCTACTCCTCCAGAAGAGGTACACTCATTTTCTTCTTCAGGAAGTTTTTCTTTGTCAGAAACTTTGCAAAAACTTAGGAGTTGTCCTTTCCTGTAGGTTTGTATCCACCTCTTAGTCTAGTAATTTTAGTTTGGTTTTGTGCACAGGTCTTTATTCAATGAATAAACATTTGATCATCCTAACAAAGTATTTTTCAGTGTTTTATATTTGTGATGGACATTACATGTATACTTATATATTCTATGTATATGTATATATCACGTTATATGTTGATGGAATTAGATTTTATTTAGTTCAGACTCTAAAAAAGTTTTCTCATTTAAAGTTTTAAACCCAATTTAAAGGACAGAGTTTCTTTGTAATGCCAATTTGTCTGAAATATGCTGTAAAACCAGAGTTAAGAGAATTAACAACAGATTAAGAAATGATCTGATGCGATACTAAAGCTCTCTTTTTCTGGGTGGAGTTTAGGATTTTCTGGAGAAGTCTTCATCGGATCAATTCCGGATGTTTTGTCTGCGCAGCAGGTACAGCTCAGGTAAGGAAAAGCTATGCCTGGCTTTTCACACACACCTCCCCGAGCGGAGCTCTGGTGGTGCAGAGGAGGGGGCTCCTCCTGCTGTGCCCCGCAGCTCCCACCCTAAGCGGGCAGGTTTGCTGTGCTCTGTGGGGTTGCTCTTAGGCTGACATTTAGGAAGGCATCTTTACCGAGGGCAGCACTTAACTGTTTGTCTAAATACCTTCCTGAAACTGAGGTTAATTACAACTCGGAATTAATTACGCTTTCGATTAATGAATTACCTGCACCTCTGATTTGCATCTGTTGCAGCCAGTTACATTTCAGTCACAACCAACTGCTTTTAGAGACATGTAGGTAGAGCTTTACCTTCTGTTCCTCTAGGGTACAACAAGGGCTTATTCATATTTTTTTATTTTCATTTTTATTTTATTTTTGTCCCATGGAGTTGCTCGGCATTCGGGGCGGTGCAGCTCAGTTGGGCGAACACTTGATGAGCTGATGATCATGGCAAGCTGGCAGAAGCTGCTGGCAGGGAAAACTGTGGGGGAATTTTGCTGGCTTCCCTCTCTCTCCACCAGAGTGTTTCCATCAGGCAGGCACTGCTTTTAACCAGAGGAGGTTTTTGTGTGGATAGCACCAGTTTGTTTTTTTTTAACCAGTTTATTGATATCTGCCAAAAGTGGATGGTAGCATCATGACTGCTGGTGGATAATGTGATTTGTCAGCGCTCCTGGTACTGCGCTGAGATGCTGGAGCACACTGAAACGCCTGCCGTGTTATTAATCCAGCCTCCAGATGCCTCAAATAAAGCACACCTAGCAGTAGGACTGGGAGAACTGACGTGGTGAAGGCTCTGTGGCTTTGCTAATGCCTAACACGTTGTGCATCCCCACAGACAGGCACTTACTGGGCTGGGAGATCTTTCTGCTCATTAATACCCCTGGCTGCTTGCAGGAGCTACCTGCCTGGCGGAGCCTTGCTTTTCCTAAGGCAGCTAAAGGCACCGGGAAGGCTGCGTATTCCTGAAATACTTGGAAGTTTGGAATAGTAGGAGAGTGAGTGGTGGGAGGCTGGAGTGAATAAAACAAAGGATGAAGAAAAAAGGCTGGCACCCACAGCGTTGTCACACACGTGTTTGTTCTAGAAACAAAAGCTGAGGGGCTGGGTTGCTTCAGTTGCCTCAGGGGTGAGGGATGGCACGGGCAGCCCTGCAGCTGAGGATGCCTGCACACCCCTCTGCACTGCTCCTGAGCTCCTGGCTGCCTTTGAACCGACCTGAGAAGTAAAGCAAAGAATCGCCACGTCCTTCTCGGGTAAATATCTTCCTACAATAAAGAACAGGGCTGCCTGTGCAAATCTGGGTGGCTTTGCTGAAAGGAAGCGGTGGTGTTGTGTCAATATAATGCCAGTAAGCCGCTGTGCAGGCAGATATGGGTTGCTGGAAGGTGTGCACATGATGAGGCAGGCCCCTTGTCAGATAAATGGGCAGAGCCAGGCACTTACTGCGCAGTGAGCCAGAGCGTGCCCATGCCATCAGCTCAGTTCAGAGATGACTGCTGCATTTCTCCTTGCTGCCTGCTTCCAAAGTGTTTTTATTAGAGGTGAGATCCCGAGCACCTTCTGTTTGTTCCTCAAAAGCTTCCTGCAGCCTGAGCCTGTTGGTGGCGATTCCTGCCGTCCCAGCCTTGGAAGGAGAACACGTTACCCTGCTGGAATATCAGCTTGGAGAGGTGGGCAGCGTTCATTGAGCCCGTAAAAGGCCTTCAGGAGCGCTCAGATGAGGCTGGTGTCTTCCTCTGAAAGCGTGGAGGTGCTGTCCGCTAGGATAAAGCTCCTCTGTGGAGAAGGGGCTGCGTTGCCTGGGGCTGGGGGCAGGTCACCACGGGCTGCAGACATCGGTGCTACTTAGCAGTAGGAGCACACAAGAGCCCAGGAGACACGACCAGCGAAATGGCTTTGGAAATAAAGCCTGAGAAATGAGGCCTGACAGATGCTGGTCGTCTCCCTCTGTGCTCGGGTACTGCGGCAGTGACAGCCTGCAGTTTGCTCCTCTGCTTAAAGAAACCGGGTAGCAAATGCTGGGTGGCATTGCCACGTGTGGCTTTCTGCCTCCAGCTTACCCCCGCGTGTCTGCTGCTGTGCACACCGAGTGCTGAGCGGGGTGTTAGGGGAAAATAAGACGGGCAACAGAAGAGCAGCGTGGTCTGCTGCTGCCACTGCCGATGCTGTAATCGCTGATTTGTGGCCTCTCTGCTCTCCTTACTGAGTTTTTCGCTCTGAGGATATCAAGCACATGGTCAGTACTCTGCAATTTCCCTGGATATTTCAGAGATCGTCCCTTTGGTGCTGTAGTTTGTGTAGATCTAGTGCTCATCTTGTGCCTTTTTGTAGTCTGTGTTACATTTACCCTAAAAACTCTCTGCTTGCCTCTGGAACAGGCTCAGAGATACTCTGTACTTGAACAAACTGAAACACTTCCCTCGTTCAGGTCTCGAACTGTCGGTGCTAGCAGCAAACACTCGGTTATTTGGCACTTAGCAGCGATGGTTTCCGTGGCAGGGAGGGAAGGGGTAGACGGAGAGCTGCTCAAGCAGCCTGTGTGCCCCGTGGTGCGTTTGCAGCACGTGGCGGGTTAGAAGAATGCCCTGAATCAGTGGAGAAGAATGGCTTTAATCAAAGCTTCATCAGAATAAACTTTCATCAAGTATTCCTCTCGGAGCCCCTGTAACCAGCGTAATCAGCTGGGTAATCTTAGTGGATATAAATGATCTCCTTCGATATCTCACGGTTTCCTAAAAGTCACTACATCGGTCTTTTAAAAGCTTAGTACAGCTTAATTCTAAAACCAATGTTAACGAGCCAGGAATGCAGATTTTTAATTACACACAAGTGGAAAACCTGACAAATACAGTCCAGACTAACGCCTCAGTTACACGGTGGCAAATCCTGCAGAAAGCCTGTTTGGACAGCTCGGCTTCTTCGGGATTTGTGCTAATGGCACCGAGATCAGGGCTCGCATCTGGCTTCTGCTAACATGCTGGGTGCCTCTAGGCGTTTAGGTGCTGGTGACACAGTCCCTTAGAGGTAAGTGCCTGTATTCCTCAGTCAGTGGTGAGGGTTAGGGGTCTTCCGAGGTCTCCAGAGGCTGACTGTGTCTACCTAAATTAAAACTGGAACAAAATTCAGGGGGAGATCAAAGGTGGGTTCTCCCAGCTTTAATCTGGGGGGACAATTAGAAGTACATCCCATCCAAGTGCGTGAGATTAATAACCAGGCAGAAAGATTCAATACTGAAAAAATACTTTAATTCAAGCAGGTGTTGCCTCAGAGAGCTTCTAATCTTCAGACCATTCTGAAGCCTTTCCAGTAGGTTCCTTGTTGTCACATAAAATGATCGTCTCTTGTGTTGATCTAATTCACCTAGTGCACTTGAAAAGCAGAGTTGCTAATTAAATGTGCAATTAAGAAAAGTTTGCTCTGACAAGTGACTACAAACTTTTGTTCCTGGAACTACTGTGGCTCAGAGTATTGTGCCTATGTGTGACAGCAACGTCCTCCATAACACAGTGCTTGTTTTTTTTTTTTCCTTAGCAGTAGAATTCAGTGACGAGACCATGAATGATGCAAAGCACCTTCTCCAGGCAATCTCCTCGTTTATTAGAGATGCAAATGCTTATATAAAAGGACAGCTGGTATGTGACCCTGTTAGAGAAGACATACTGTGGGAAAGGTAAGTGTGCTTCCTCTAGATAGAGATTGTCATTATGGGAGCAGTAATTTGCAAATTGCTGGCAGGCTCCGAGGGCTGAACGAGGGCAACATACTGAGTTCTGTTGAAGAAGAGCTGGGAAGCAGCCTTCCCTGCTACCCTCACTGAGGGTAGGGTGGATTTTTTTTTAATTTTGTAGCCAGCTGTTTTTCCTCACAGTCTGCTATACTTAGTGCATTGTATTTGTACAATCACGTTGTTTATCTGGTGTGCCTGACCTAATACAAGCACATTTGCACCTCCTGACTGATGTAGAAGGAAAAGCTCTGTCTGAAGTTGCAAAGCTACCCAGGGCATAAGAAGAACCGTGCTAATGACTGAAGAAGAAAGAAGACAACTGGAAAGCAATAAGCCTTGGGTACAGGAGCTTGTAGTCAAACTGGCTGACAGGCTGGTGAAGGAGGGAAGGGTTACTCAAACTGGTCAGGAGAGATTTCATAGGGAAAGAAGATGTTCTGTTTGCTGGGACCCTGGCAGTGATGAGGAGAATCTTTTTTGGAGTCCCTTACAAAAATTGGATCATCTTACAGGATCACAGAGTGATTTGGGCTCGAAGGGATCCTTAGGGATCACCTAGTTTCAGCCCCTTGCCATGGGCACGGACGCCTTCCACTAGAGCAGCTTGCTCAAATGCAGAGATGTGGATGGTGTTGGGAGTAAACCTGAGGAGTCTGGTGCTCTGGATTTAGGGTGGGAGAGGCAGTGAAGTGCCACACGTACAGGCAGCTCTGAGGCGTGTGATCAGAGGGGAAGATGAAGTGAGAGACAAGTTTGTACACGGTCGTATTGAAGAGCTCGTGGCTGTACCGACTGCGTCTCACTGTGTCTCATAGGGAGCACCGGAGCATGTCACAAGGAGGGGGGGGTGAATTAGCTACTCGTGATATTGGGCAGCTGAAGCTGTCCTTCAGCTGGAGGCATCCAGCGGACTTGCTGGTGAGGGATAAGGCGTGTGAGGCACGTAAGGAAGTCAAAATAGAGTGTCAGTGGAGGACATAAGAGAGGGCAAAACACGGGTATCTCTGAAGTGCTTATTTTGGGAAAGTGATAGATATTGAATGGAGAAGGGGAAACTCAGGAAATAGCTTTGGGTGAATGGATTTAGGGTAGCAGCTATTTGATCCCTGAGAGAGGCAGGTACTCCAGGAGAAACCACTCAGAAACAGGCAAAATGGGGTTGAGGTGATCCCCAGAGGTACTTAAGGCTCCCCGGGTAACTCTGCTCCTCCGGCTTTACTGTGGAGCAGCATCCCCGTGTTAGTGGCAATAAATATCCAGTTCATCTAGCTTTGTACAAGAGAAAGTCCCCAGCAATTGTTGGCAGCTTGCTGTTTGTTCCCCCTGCTCAGCTCACCCTGCCCTGCCAAGCGGCCCTGCCCGATGAGTGCAGGCCGCCCACGGGCTGCGTGAGGCGGGCTTGGCTTTTCCACCAGACCTTTCTCTCACCCTATATCTCACCCTATAGATAGACCTTTATCTCACCCTATAGAGCTGGAATTTGGCTACCCTAGGAAACAGGGAAGCAGAGCCTGCCTTGGAGCCGGATCCTGCCCACAGGACTCCCTCCTGACCCGGCCCAGCTCTTCTGCTAAGCACTGGAGCAACGCGTGTGGCGTGACTTTGGGAGAGAAGGGTGCCCTCAGCGTGAAGAGCAGGCTGCCAGAATAAAAGGACGTAGCAAAACTGCTAACGTGCTTCATTTCAAGGCAGCTTTCCATCTGTTTTTAAACAACGAAGGCGAACATCGCTCTGCGGCTGGTTGCTGTGATTAATGATGTGTTTATTGAACGGATGTAGCGCTTTGGGGTCTGACAGGCGTCGAGTTTTTTCCCGAAAAATGTGTTCCCTCCTGATCGACGCAGCATCTCCCCTCCCGGAGCAGCTCAGGAGGAAACGGGTGTCCTTCCCGTGACTCCTCCCGGCTAGCTGACGGCTTCAGCCTACTGCTGGCATCTTGTTTGTCTTATCTTAAACGTTACCTTTTTTCTTCTTGAAGGCTAGCCAGCACAAAAGTAAACGTGAAGGCTGCGCTTGCAGATGACTTTGACACCTCCAGGGCTGTTGCAGCAATTATGGACCTCGTTCACCATGGCAACAGACAGCTTAAGGCTGTTACTAAGGTAACCCATTAGGATACAGAGATCAGAAAATGACAGCTGTCCACTGTCCTACTGTTTAATGCAGACAGATTAGTTTATTGTTCACACGAGAAACCAGCAGAAACAAAGCTCCATAAATTGTTGACCTTAATGGTCCCCATTTGTCCTGGCTGTAGCGCAGGAATTATATACGACTATTGTATTATGCCTCGCTGTGTCCAAAGTATCTCTCTTTGCTGCTGCCCGATATTATTTATACCTCGGCTTTTCGAAAGGCCTGAAGCCTCTGTGACACGCAGCTAATTTTTAATGCTGGTTTTACGGCCTCATCTTGCTTCTTTGCTTCATATCCATGCCTTGAAGTTGGCCTTAGTAAGGAAAGGGGCTGTGGTCACTTCTGGGGGGTCTGAAAACTTGTTCTCTTTTACCCACAGCTCCCTTTCTCGCTCGAGGCGAACAGCTCAGCCTTGCTGCTGTGCTCCTTAATTGCTGTTTTCACGACGGCCACCTTGTTGGGCTGTGAAGGAGATGCCGAGCATATAGCAACAGCCAATTTTAAGAGAGAATTTGCTCATTGCTTTAAACATCCTGCCTCCTCCTGGTCTTGTTTTGGTGCCGATTTTAAACTCCCTCTTCAGCCCCATCTGCCCCTTTTTGTTACAAAATCACTCGCCAAACAGATCCCTGGCTTAAGCCAGTTTGCAGTAGGGATCTGCAGTAGCATTACTGCTCCGTAAATACACGTATTGCTGGTTGCTGCTTGTTTTCTCTGAATTCGTTTTGTCAGCTGAGTCAGCTGAGTCTTGGTGTCTTGATGCTCCTCTGGGTGCAGTCCAGTTTTTGTTTTACCTCCTAGTCAACATGTGGGTGCTTTTTCTTAAGAACTGACTGAATTCACATCAAAAAGAGGAATGAGTTATGTTTATCTTCTCAAAATTTTTGTCTCAGTTGGCACGTGCCTGTTTCTTTCTTCAACAGCTCACTTCAGCTCCTTCCAATTTGGAAGTTGTAGGTTATGGCTTATCTCAGACCCTGGTGGAGCTACCAGATAAAATCCAGCACCAGCTGCTAATTTGGTTGTGTATATCATTATTCTTTTTTAGGCAACTGTTAGTCCCTTGAATCACTTTTCAGTCTGTCATTTAATCTTGAATTTATTTTTTTTAGTGCAATAAATGTGGAGGAAAGAAAGAAATACCCGTGTCCCTAAACACTAGTCCATTGCTGCTGCTGCTCCTAGGGCACGACAAAACGCCATAAGCAATCTCAAAGCAGACTTCATGTTGTTTAAATCAATAAGACACAAAAAAGGGTGTTTTTTTTTTTTTGACCTTTATTTTAAGGATGCCCTTGAAGCTGCGATTTTGTTCTTCTGTTTGGTTTCTGTGCGCAGCACTGCTATTTTTAGGTCCAATTTACGTGCAACGCGCTGTGCTTGCATGCATCTCCCCTCCTCGCCTGGTAATAAGCTCGTCCCCTCCCCCATTTACTTGCATCTTTTTCCCCCTCATGGCACAAAGGGGATTGCTGGAGGTGCTTTTATAGCCGCGTAAAAGTTCCTGTTTGGGGCAGGTTTTATTGGCAGAGGTGGAGCTATCGAATTAGCGGTAGCTCTCCCTCGCGGCCGCGGCTGTGGAGAGATGCGGAGCTCTGTGATATGTATTGACTGGACAATCTCTTTTGAGTGTTTTTTAAACAGGATGGCGGCTCTCCCAGAAGCTCTGTTGTGTATGGAAGCATTATTTCCTACGTAGAAGGCGTTTTTAAGGCCCTTGGGATGTCCTTTGAAGAACGACAGGTATGAAACACCTCTTCTGTGCGCACCAGTACACGGTAGCGGTGCTAGCGTTGGGTGCTGTGCAACGCTTCCTGAAAGCATGAAGTGTAACAGAGCTATCTATGGCTCTAGTAAACCTTCCTTCATTGCTTGTGGTTTCTGCTGAGATGTTGTAGGAGAACGTCTGAGCAGGCAGAAAAGGGTAAAGCACAACGGGTGCTTTTCTCCTTCCCCTGGGTATTCCTGCTTGACTTCTGCAGAGATCACATCGTAGGAACGAAAGTTGGATGAACAAAACGAGAAAAAGTTAGTGCTGGAGGCCTTTACGTTGGTACTGTTCTCTGTCTTTTCCCTGGCTCTTCCTCGTTTTTTGATGGTTGCATCCAGGCTGACTTTGGTAGCCATACAAATACTTCTCTGCCCAGCAGGAGCCAGGGCTTGGCTCCTCTGCAGAAAGCCAAGGTGAGGAGGAAGGGGCTGCTCTGCCCTCAGGAGGGGCCTTCACTGGACATACCTTACCTATCTTCCAGTGCTTGAAAAAGGGCAGGAACAGGGAGGGAAAAAAGAGAGGAAAAGCCCAATGCAAAGTGCTGCAGAGAGAAGAGGACAATAAACAGGCAGGTGATATCCTGGTATATGGAAGGGGAGCAGTTTGAAGGTTTGGAGATGAGTGAGCTCTTCTGTGCTCACCTCCTGCAGCTTCATGAGGAGTGTGGGGCTGAAGAGGAAGAAGTTAAAAACTTTCTTCAGAGAAACCCTTCTACAGAAATTTCTTTTGGGGGAGGGGAAGAAGAGAATAAGGAAATACAAATAACCTTGTTCATCCAGTACAGCAATCACTGCATTCAGTTACTTTGCTTCTTTGCGGATTTTCCCACAAAATTTCTCCTGAAACAGCTGCTGGATGCAGTTCAGCTGTTCGCTGCTCCTCATAACGCATGCGTTTGCCATGTTTAGTATCCCACTAAATACTCAACACTTACATTTGTGTGTCTGTCTGAATGTTGAAGCCATTCCTCCTTATTCTGAGCTGCCTGTATGCAAGTGAATATTTATTTGTAGTGCAATAAGTGCCTTAAAGCTTTTCTTTTTGTGTGCTGTGCTACTTTCTCTGGGGTATCGGGGTCAGCAGCAGATGCTGGTGAGAGGTAGGCAGGAAGGAAGGAACAGCACTGCAGCTCCTTCCCTGCCTCTCTCCTTTTTCCTTTTGCCCTCAAATAACCGAATCAATGAAAATCTTGATTTCTTACTCAAGACACCACAAAGGTCTGGGGGCTATGAGAGTAGATAAAGACATCCCTAGCCAGGTTGAAGTCCTGTAAACATTTCTCTCTTGGCCTTACCGGCTACTGCTGGGGGCTTCTAGCTGGTGAGTGGAAACCATCGTGCCTCTTTAAAGCTGGGGGGCACAGGTAAGGCCTTTAGCTCGCCTGCAAGTGCTGTCGTCCAGGTGTGACAGCTGATGTGCTGTGGGAGAGGCAAGGACACGTTTCTGCATAAAATTGTTATAAGCCTTTTGGATTGGATGGTACTACAGAAGAAGAAAATGGAGATCAAGAGACTTTATGCAGTGTTTTGCTTAGGAGGTGAACTGATCCCATTTCCCCAGGCTGTCCCTCCTTTTGGAGGATCTTGCCTTTGTGTCATGAAATAAGTGCCTCATTGCAGCTTTGCTGGTGTCTGTAGAGGCATGCTCTTATCCCCTCTCATCATTTGACTTTTCTCTCCCTTCTGCATTTAAGCATTTACTCTGCTCTTTTCCTGTCCCAGGTTACAAGGGGACATTCCTGGCGTTTAGGTTTATTTCCTCCTTCATTCTCCTAAGCCGCTTCTTCAGCATGTTTACATCTTCTGAAAGTTTGGGGAATTTGCTGCCTCTTACAATCCTGGAGAGCGCTGAGCGTCTCAAGCTCTGGCCCCTAAATAGCTTCCTCTTCGCCTCCTTCTCCTCCTCTTTAGTTTTCTTCAGCCAGTGACCTCTGAAAAGGCTCCCTTTCATCCCCCCCCCGCTGTTCTGTGACTAAACACAGTCGGTCCCCTCTGCCTTTAATTACTCGGCCCCTCTTCTGCTCCCAGTGCCCCTGGCAGCTGCCTCACCCCACGGTGCTGCTGTGCTCTGCATTTGGCTGCAGTGTCTGCTCCCCGTCCTGTGGACACTGTCCTGTGTAGGAACACCCCGAGCTACTCCAAAGCACGGCTGGGCTCTCACTTCTGCCCAGCATGAGTGGGATGTGTTTAATCACACCGCTGTAGTGGAAGGTGCACGGCCGCGCGAGGTGATGAGGATGGCCGCCGTGCACACAGCTGAATTGTGATGGATTTTGGAAATCGTTCTCAGATGTTTTTAAAACCCTGTGTTTGATTTACAGGTTGCGGCGGGAGGAGGAAACTCGGCTCTGCTTTCCAACGTGATGGACGAGCTCGTGGGCTTCCGCACGAAGGTCCGTAATTACGCGCTCGCTGTGCCAGAAGCAGCGGACACCGTGCAAACAGAAGAAGGTGCCATGGGATCAAAAGGACCAAAACAAGAGCAGAAGGAGAAGAGACAGAAGTTAATGCAGGAGAGAAAACCTCTCCTGGAGGCTTGTGATGGTCTGCGCGGGAACCTTGCTGCTTTTGGAATCCACATCAAGGTAGATGACAGCTACTTGCCTTGTGAGGCTGCTAGGGTCTCTAAGGCAGCGTTATTTATGCCCTTCCTGCCCCCTCAGCAACTTTCCTTCTTACACCCTGCATCCCATACAGCTACAGTGGCAGGAGGCAGGAGCTGAGCTGAAGCTGAGCTCTTCCTGATGGTACTGCTGGCCTTATCTTCTGCTCACCTCAGCCTCGTGTCTCTGTGCACGCTGTAGCTACTGCAGTTACTAAGGAAGTATTATTTTGCCACTGATAATCCCCTCATGCTCAGAAATCCCTAAATTGTCCGAGTTTAACACACAAGAGAGGCTAGGAGTAACATGTGCTATTTTAAGAAGGCTGCAGAGGAACTGGAAAATAAACTGAGATGACTTAGGAAAATAATACCTTCCCTCTACCTCCTCACATTTCCCCACCAAAAAGATAAGTCCGCACAAGAAAGCCTCTTCTGTCTTTGGCAGGTGTGTTACTAAATGTCCCTGAGCCACAAGTGCTTTGCCTGGTTCCTGTCGCACTCCTTTTTCCATGCTGCTTTCTGCTCTCAGCCCGTTCCTAACGCCACTGTTCCTCTTTTTCATTCCCCCGACTGTGTCTCCCACCGAAGAGAAATCCCCTCGTTGGCTCACAGCTTCCTCCTGGTCTCAAGATGCTGCGTGACTTCCTCAGTGTGCGCTGCTTCTTCCACTTCTCCTGCTCCACTGCCCTTTTCATCTCAGCTCCATGGCGTTAGTTTGATCTTGTTCCTCACGTGCAGGATCACGCTCTGCTTTCTGCTCAGCATCCTTCTCCCTCCCTGCAGTTCGTGCTGCTCCTCGCTTGTGTTTTGAGCCTCGCGCAGCCTCCTTGCGTCATTTTACCCACGGGAGGCCAGTGAAGCACGATGACATTAGGGGAGAGCAGCACACATCCCCTATAATTGCCGAGCGTGAGGGCTGTCACTCGTCGATGCACTGAATAAAATCAAGCGCGAACTGTGGGCAGCGCTCAAGATTTCATGTGGAAGGGATCCAAGCGGGGTTGGGGGCCGGAGCCCGGCCGTGGCGAGCTGCAGCTGTGAAAGCAAAGGGAGCCCATGGGAAGCTGGAGCATCGGCTTCCTTGTTTGTACGTCGCTAAATCCTCAGCCTCGCTGCTCTGTCAGGAAGGCAAATCCAAGCCGCCGCGCTGAGACAAAGTCTTGGAGAGGAGCGGCCCCGTTTGATCCATCTGGCCAAACAGCTGTGCCCGCCCCCCCAGCCCCTTTGAAGATTTGTTTTGTTTTGTTCTTAAAGGGATTTACGGATATTTAATAACCTCCTAGAAATTGGCCTTAGCCGGGATCCAGCCGGAGTCTCCCCGGTCCCAAGCAATGCTGCTTGTTCCCGGCTGCGATCACTGTGGCCGTGCCCCTTTGGAGGAACTCCCCAGGTGCAGGCTGGCTCTTGGCGGTGTTTTGACCCCTGATCCTTCCTGCGTGCTGCAGGAAGGAGCCAGCTCCCTGTTTTGGTACTGAGAGCTCCCACCTGGAGGCTGTGATTTGCAGCATCCAGCTTGCAGCCTTTTACCTCCTCTGGCCGGCTCACAACTCGAGCAGAACACCAGAGTTGCATTGCTGTAGTGTGCTCGTATGAGATACAGCAAAGTGCTTATTTTATAAAGGGAAATATTTTACATAATTCCTCTTTATTACCACTGGAGCAGTTCTTCTGCCAGCCTCACCTGGCCTTTCATGGCATGGCCTCATGGCTCTTTGTTCCCAGAACTTTGTCACAGTAAGTGTGCACTAAATGCAAGGTATCTCATATAATGAAGTGAAATGACATAATTATTTAAGCCTCACAGTTTTCACTTCAATACAAAGAAAATCCTACATTGTATTCCAGCCTTTCTTACGTTAGCTCCTTTAACATTTTATCTTGTTGAACATTTAATATTCAGATAAACTTTTGTCATTTTCAACAGCTGTGGTCAAGTGACTACATCAAAACCGAAATTATTGGTTTGGTTATGATACTCTTCCAAAAATATAACATCGCACTACAGATTCTTACAGCAACAGGCTTCTATCCTTCTAAAAATTCACAGAGAGGAATGTGTTAGGCAATATTTTCTTGTGTACTGACCACAGAAGAGATGTTTTCCATGTAGGACAGCCACTTGAACATGAGAATATGATTATGAGTGCCTAACACTGAAAAATATATATTGTTTTCTTGTAGTGATTTTTTAAATTATTTTTTTCTTAACTGTGACGAATTGTCTGGGCTTATTTTACAACTACTGAGTGGTGGTAGTGAGGGCATTCCTGTGAGATGGTATCACCACCTCTTTTCCTAACTTGATTAATAGCTTTGCTGTGTGACGTTTGTGTTGGAGTAGACAGAAAAAAAAAATAATATCTTCACGCTCATTGAGCTCCATCTGGTACATTACAGGGTGTGCTGAACGGGCTCCAGCCAGCTCCAGCAATCCCTGTGTGATGCAGGCTGATGAGAGTAACACGTTTCCTTGTTCCTGCAGGACAGAAGTGCGGTTTCAACCTGGGAAATTGTGGAAGGCGGACGAGTGGAGCAGCAGACTGAGAAAATAAGCTGAACCATCATCACCGGACTTGGTTTTGGTTGCAGCTGCTCGGTGTTGTAAATACCTGTAGTATCCAAATAAAATCTTTGGAACAAAATGTCTAACAGTGACATAATCTCAGTGAAAACATGGGAACTACTACTAGGTAAATAAGTACTGGCCTTGCAGAAGGGGTGCATGAGATGCAGGGCGTGCGGACATCCAAACCACCCCTAGCAGAGGTATTTTTTCTTGGGCACAGAAGGAGGTGATAATGTTAAGCCTTGAAGTAATTCCTACTGCAGCAGTGCTGGCTTGGTCTGTGAAATCTTCACCCTCATTACCACGCAAGCACCTACCTGTAAGGCTTGGGCTCCTTCCACTTTGTTTTTGCACAGATTGCCCTGAGCCTTCCCTAGTGCTGGGACTAGGGCAGGCTCAGGATCCAGCTCTCAGAAGTGGAAAAATGCAATTAGCACATGCAGTGTGGTACCTGGGTGGTCATTAAGCCCCTGTGAAGTAAGTAACATGCGAGTATTTTGGAGGAGAACGAAATGGGCTGTACCAAGACTGCACAAAGGGTCAGGCCTAAGGGCAAGCCAGCCGCTTGCACCCCTGTTGCAATCCCTGTAGTTTATGGGCTGCATTTTACGTGGCATGTATTGCCTACCGGTGTGTTTCTGTATGTTCAAATCACTTTGTGAGATGCTAAATAAGAACGTGGGCTCATACAGGAGGAGTTTCATCTGAAATTACACGAATAATCTATTCAAAAGGATAAAGGCTTTCTTTTACACCAAGTGGCATTTATTAAGCTAAACCCATTTTTAGTCAGCAGCCTTCCTTAGCACTTAGGCTCAAGTGCCTCTGCTGGGATTTTACATCTGTTAGTGGCTGCATTGCTTCCACCAGTGGCAAAGGAGAAGGAAGGGCAGACACGTCCCCCAGCTCGGCTTCTGGGGGCAGCGTAATCAGAACACACCAAACTCCAGCAGGTTCGTTTGCTATGTTTTTTATTTCCTACTGAAAGAAACCGCTACATTTCCAGAATGCTTAAAAATTGTAACAATTTGCATACATTAGTGAATAACAAAGTTACAACTTTTGTGTAGGTTTAAAACCGACATGGCAGGTTGAAATCTGTACGGATACCTGGGGCTTGATTGCCTTTGCCTACAAACGCCGGTGGGCTAGCATACCGTGATGGTCTACATACAGAAACGCTCGGTATTGTGAAGAAAATCCAGCACTGACTTTATTTAAAAGGAGTTGGGCTTCCCCAATAGGTTCAGGGGGAAAAGTAATAGTAGCTTGGTTTCCCCAGGGATGTAGACAGTTTACAAAATTGCTTAAAATAAACCCCAATAATCCATCTCTTAGGAGCAGACAGACAGTTGCTCTAATCTAAAAAGAAGTCCGTGAACCCTCATAGACCAAAATGAGCAAACATTTAAAAACCTATTTTAAAAATAGGCAACTGGTTTAAAAAGAAAAACCAAAAATGCATTGGGGTGAGGTAGTAGTCACAGTGCATACAGAAGTATTGACCGTAAGGGCGGGAGGGGAAGGACTGAGAGCAGCCTGACTTCAGGTGCTTCTTGTGGGGAGCTATTGCAAGGAACGAGAACAAGAACCTATGAGCGATGCTGTGTTCCAGCCTACAGTCAGACCACTGGGAAAAAAAGAGTGGTTGCAATGAATATGTAACACCTGCTGTAAGAACTAGACACATCTTCGGGTGCTTGTTCCTGCGCTTTAAGGAGTATATACACTTGAAGCTAGGCTGTAGGTCCAATGGTAGCACCCGCTTCCAGACCTCACTGAAAGTTTTGTGACAGCCCTTCGAATGAGCTCGCCCCTCTCTCCACACTGCTTCAGTCCTTACAAGCTTTGACTGAATTTCCAAAAACTTCAGAAGCGATACTGTGCAAAATCCAACTTCCCCTTTGTATCCAGCACTCATCTGTTCTGCCCGCCAGGCAGATATGTTCACAACAGTAGATAGAGGTAATAGATTGGCAATAATGGCAGAGCAAAACGCCTCTAAACCCAGAGCTCGAGCACCTGCCACCATTTTTCTGTCCCTGTCTTTGACTTGCGACTGCCTGTGTATCACTAAGAGCAGACAGATGCGTGCTGTTGTCTGCCTTCTCCTTCAGTTCCTGCTGGTTAATAAATAGCCACCTCTGTACACCTACACTCGTGCTCTCAGAGCTCCAGTCCAGCAGGCAACCTGACTTTTAAAAGCACCTCGCTCTGCCGCTAGCCCCGCAGCCTGACCAGCTCAGTTAGGTGGCACTACACTCCTCACCCACCTAGCACCTCTCCCAAGGATAATTTCACGCAGCTCGTCACGCTGCCTTCCAGGTGAGCTGAGACCAGCTAAAGGAATTCAAAATAGTTCTTCTTCAGGCAAACACTATCACTGTGCACTGCCAATATACCTACAGCGCGTCCTTATTCTGCAACGGGGGGATCTTCTCCCAGAAAGCCAGACGTGGCAGGCAGGGGTGTGCTGCTGGGAGGAATGCTGCCTCTGGGACTGGGAATGGAAAAAGGCAACTAGTTACATTCAGAATCTAAAGCAACTTCATGCGTTCCCTTTCCAACGAGGCTTAGTTTTGCTTCTTAAAGTAAATACACTAGCGTGGCAAAAAATGAAGTGCAACAGTTAACTCTAGACAGACGGCCTAAGGATGAAATCATGACAAGCTTGGTGCAATCCAAGAAATTCAGTTGAGCTGGTGGAAGAATTTTATTCTTATCTAAGTATCAAGTGCATTTATTATTTATTTTTTTTTTTTGCTGTTCAAACTTTAGTTATTGCTCAATAACTATCAAAAAGAACAGAGGAATACTTTCAGTTTAGTTTTATTATATTATAACAGATCTGCAACTACAGCTTATTTCAGCCAAAACATTTTCGTATTCCAAACTCTTAGAAAATATCTACATTAATCATATTTTTCTATTCTTAAAAATAAAAAAAAAATCTACCTAGCATACCAATGCTGCTACAGCACTTGAAAGGGTGCATTACTTATTTCAATTCTACTGTAAATGCAATTACTCTTGCAGTCATTGTTCTTCCTCTTCTTCTGCGCTGCTTTGGCTTCAGGTTTCGAAAAGTTTGTTAAAAGCTGTTCCAACTTCTGAAACCATGTCAGAGGCAGTCATTGAACGTCCGAATTTTTGGAAGGCTTGGTTGTTACACTGCCTCGTAAGAGAGCAAGCTCCAAACGCAGCCACCAGGAAGGGATTTTGACTAAAAGGAAACAAACACAGTTACAAACAATATCTGAACACTGCTTTTCTAAAGCAGCTTTGTGTAATTCGTAAGGTGGCAGGCGTAATCTTTGTACCCATAAACGTTTGTCAGCCCTGCTGGGAAAGACTCTTGAGAAAAAATCCTGCATTTCTTAAACTCTTGTGTTGCAGAGCATCCTTGGCTGGGGATTTTTTTAACTCATGCTTCTCTTCCCATGGCTCAGCACATGACTAAGAAACAACAACAGTGCTGAAGGATGCAAAAGGAAAACACACGTGCTCAGGAAGCGGGTCAGAAGGTGTTCCATGGCCACGGACAACCAGCTGCCTGACAGAGCATCTCCGTCCCCATTGCTCAGGCACTGAACCTCCCCTGGAGAAGCACGGACCTGGCACCTTTTACAGGCCATGGGAGCCACTTCTGCTGTTTTTGCAGTCCCGGAGAAGAGGAAAACAGCAGAATAATTCAGCAGCCAGCCCTAGGGGACAAGGAATGCTACATCTGGAATTTAACACACCAACTAGAGAAAGCTGGGACCTGGAGCAAGGCTCTGGTGATTACTGCAGACAGCCACGCTCAGTGGGGCAGCCCAAGAAGGCAAAACTCATGGTCAGAAGCTGCAAAAACCAAGAGCCCAAAGAAAAACCAGGGGAGTCAGCTACATGCTTTTGCTCAGCACTGTGTTTAGCCCTGGACATCTTGTCTCCAAACACGCCCCTGAGACTGAACGAGGTCAAAAAGGATTGAAGAGATACCTAGAAAACAACAGACTCCTATAGGAGGAAACACTGAAAAGAAAAGCTTTGGCAGAGACAAACAATGAGACAGTAATATCCGAATTTTTTCAGCAGAAGAAGTGGAGCTCTCCACATTGACTTCTCGTATAATCTGTGATCTCATACAGTAGCAAAGGGCGTACTGCTACTACTGCTACTGGACCAGAGGGGCAGGCAGTCACACCAAGAGACAACATATCTGAAAGGTGTATGGGGAAATCTCGTTACTTAGTGAACAATTTCCACATTAACAGGGATAATGAATTATTGAAAGTAAGATCGAACTAAGGGTGTTTTTTTTAAGTGACTATTTAGACTAAGAAAAAGTCTGAAGCTTCGTTACTTCAGACTGCAGTCTACAGTTTACAGCTCATTACTTACTGGGAAGGGACTGCTGTTCCCTCACTACTTGTCTTAAGGTTCCTTGCAGTGTTATTTAAAGAAGCTACTTTCACAGGAAGCCTACACAGCTATAGGGACCAACTAGTCAGAGAGGAACTGACACCATTTAACACAAGAGCCAGCAGCCAGCTGCAGGTGGGTGTTGGCTTTATGTACGAGCACACCAGCCTGCCCCTTGGCCTTAAGACAGCCACCCTCTTTGAAATTGTTAATTGAGAATTAACAAGTGATTAATTAATATTCATACCCATTTGTTTTCTCAGCTCCAGCCATGAATGCCCAGTGCGCTAAGACTCCCAGAGAACCAGAAAGGAGGTCTCCCTGT